GGGCTCCCTGCTCGGCAGGGAGTCTGCTTCTCCCTCTGACCCTCCCCCCTCTCATGCTCTCTCTATCTCATTCTCTCTCTCAAATAAATAAATAATCTTAAAAAAAAAAAAAAGTTAACTCCATGGCCAGTTTTCCTGCCTGTAAAATGAGATGACACGTATTATATGTTGTGCTCTGAGGTTTTAATGCAAAGCCCAGACAGCACCTGGCAAATTGCCCCCTCACTCGGACATTAACATCCTCGCCCTAAGGCCTTGCAGTGTGACTATACCCCTTGGGGCTGCTGGGAAGGGACAGGGAGCCCCCAGGGTTCACAAGGGGGAGGCAGGAAGCAGAACTGGGCAGGCAGAAGGGGATGCCAGGTCCAGGCCCAAGTCCAGACTTGTCGTGGACCCGAGCTACCCAGGCTGGATGCTACCCAGAGCTGGCTGCCTCTGAAGAGCAGCAAAGAGAGTGTAGCCTGGCGTGTGGGGCTCCATGCCTGATGACAAGTACAGACGGCTGACTCTCCGACGGGGGGTCTGATGGGGTCTCCTGAGCCAGCCCCTGCCCTCCACCACATCACACCTCCAGGGGTGACGTTCAAAACTGTTAACAGCACGGGCCCATCAGAACAGACGCTGATGTGGAAGACCCAAAGAGCTGCACCTGCGTGTACCAGCTGCGTGTCCCTGGCATGTGCCCACCTGTGGGCAGAGCGCATCACACCGCTGAACTCTGACCCACCCCCTCCTTTCTGCAAACAGGGCTCTACTTCCCAATGCCCCTGCCCCAGCAGCTCAGACTCAGGACGTGCACCCTGCCACTCTGCAGACTACTGCTGGGGCTTCATGCCTGCTCCCAGCTCTTTCCCATAGAAAGGCCCTATCTGGGGACACCTGGGTGGCTTAGTCAGTGAGTGTCTACCTCCACCATAACAGACCCCCAGGGTAGCCATGGGATCCCATGTCTGTCCCTGGGATGTCTGTGCTCCTCCCCCACCACCCCAGGGTAGCCACAGGGTCCCCTGCCATCCCAGCGCCCACGGCTATACTCACTGCTGAGGCCAGTCTTATTGAGGGCACTGCCCACACCCCAGAGGACAGCTGCTACGTAGAGGATCCAAATGTGTTGCAGGACCCGAGGTGCGGGGGCCCAGAAAAAGAGGCCGAGAGTGAGGAGCAGGTGCAGTCCGGCCCCAGCCACCAGGGGCACCGCGCGGGGCAGCCACAGCCCCAGGAGGCCCAGGACCGAGGAGGCCGAGGCGCCCAGGCTGTAAGCCACGAGGATATAGGCCAGGCGTTCGAGCCCCACCGAGCACACACCATAGCCCTGCGGGGGGGACGAGGGTGAGTGTTAGAGGTCAGCTGGCCCAGGCTGTCCTCTCTGGGCCACCTCAGGGCTAACTCCCCCTAAGGGTCATGGGAAGGTTCTGAGGGCACAGACGGGAGAAGAGGCTTGGACAGTGTCCCCAGATACCAAGGCTGCACCCCGCCTGGAACCTCACGCTTTATGGGTGTTATCCCATCCCGGCGGTGTAACACCTCCGAGAGTAAACATCGTTGTTGGCATCGCTTCACAGGGAAGGAAACTGAGGCGCAGAGAGCTTAAAATAAGTTGCCTAAGGCAGAGGAGGAGTGGGGGAAGCCAGGAAAGAGAAGAAGGGGGGAGGCGACTATCTGGGACACACTTGTACATACTTACACATGTATTCAAAACCTATTCATCTTTTATCCCAAATACAAACGTAACCACAAGTCCTGTATTGTACACTATGCAGGCCGTCCTTACCAGGGCGAGACCAGTGCAGGCAAAGAGCACCTCGAAGCCGCTGTAGATAAAGAAGGGCACGAGGTGCCGCAGGCGGAAGTCGCGCACGTGCTTGAAGGGCAGCTGGAAGATGTTGCCCCAGCCCACGCTGCGCAGGTCGATCTCCTCAGTGGGCCGGTAGGCGGCGCCGCACAGGCCCAGCACCTGCGGACCCACGAGCTGAGCGGGTGGGCGGGGAGGCAGGGTGGCCGGGCCCCCTCGCCCCAGGCCCCGCCCTGGACACACCCACAGCCCTGGGTCCCGCCTCCCAGCCCCGGCCCCGCCCCCAGACGCACTCACAGATCTCGGCCTAGCTTCCCAGCTCCGCCTCCAAAAGGAGGCCACGCCCAGGCCCCCAACACCTTAATTCTGCTTCTCGGGTTCCGCCCCCAGCCCAGTCCTCTCAGACCCTGTCTCCAGCTCCACCCCGGACCAGGCTTGGCTCCCTTCCCCTTGGCCTCTGGGATTCCAACTCCAGGTTCAGGCCCGAGCCTCTAGCCTGACCACTAGGTTCAGGACCCCTCCCCAGGACTCAGCCCTGGCTCCCAGCTCAGACCAGGACTTCAAGCCATAACCCTGCCCAGGCTGCCAGCAATGCGCCCAGATCGCACCCCTTGCTCCACGTCTCGGTCCCCAGACTTCATTGACTCTGCCCCACCCCATCCTGGGCCGCACCAGCAGCATGGCCAGGAAGGCCACCGCCATGAGCACGCTCTCCACCACAATGAGGTTTCTGCTCCGTGGTAACGTCCGCAGAACGGTCTTGTTGAAGCCAATGAGGATGCCCTGGCTGTTAGTACCTGGAGAGAGGCGGGTGGGGGATGGGGAATAGAGCACACTGTAAACTCAACCACAAAGAAATGGAGCAAGGTGGGCCGGTGGAGGGGAGGGTTAGAGGTGGTGGGCGAGGGCAGTGCTTGCAAAGGCAGGGTTCATTTGGGAAGCAGTTTGGAGGTGAGGGCCACTGGGCCTGGACGAGCAGCAAAGGGAGGAGCGCCTCGCCCCCCCGCCCCTTGCTGCTCTAGTGCCTGCAGGCTGGACGGGGCAGTGGGGGTGCCAGTCCACCCCCCAACCCCAAACATTCACCCTGCAGTGATTGAGCTCTGAGGGTATGTGTGGCCCTGAGAGATAGCCCCCAGAAGCCTCAGTCCAGATGGCATCTCTTCCAGGCAGCCTTCCCTGATGCACCCTGTCCCCATGAGGCTGGGTCCGATGTCCTAACTGCATACTCCTACAGGGCCCTATGCCTTGCCCACTAGGTTCTCAGCCCTGAACCTGTGGGCAAGGGCATCCTCTCTGGGCACTCTCAAGAGCCCAGTGTCTGCTGGATGACTCAATGGGGGAGGTGAGCAGGCATGGGGGAGGTGAGCAGGTCTTGGGGGCCCCACCCCATGAGGACTAACCGCAGCTCTGCACGTTGTAGAGTGTGTGGTTCAGGTCATACAGGTAGTCGTTCAGGAAGTAGATCATGGGCAGCTGGGCACAGGCGAAGCTCAGCTGTGGGCAGGAGGGCAGCTTGGGCTGGGCTCAGAACCAGACAGGGGGCACAGGCATGATCTGGAAGGGGTCTGGGCACAGCCTTGGCAGAACAGGAGCCCTCCCACCTCTGGGGGCAGCCTCGTGGCAGGAGGGAATGCCCAGTGCAGGAGGACTTTCTCCTGCTCAGGGAGGGGATGAGGTCTCAGTCACTAGAGGTAAATAAGCAGAGGTTGGGCTCAAGAAAGGGCAGTGGGACTAGTGGGATGAAAAGACTGTGGGATGGGCTCCAATGTGTGGGTTCTGGGCCTGGAATACCCTCCCCCAATGGCCCCATAAGTGGTACTCACATGGAAGAAGCTATAGAAGATCGCTTGGAAGACCAGGAGATATGGCGCGTGGGAGCCCCGTGGCGGGCGTTGCTGGGGGCTCTGCTCATCCCGCTCCTTATAGTGGGAGTACTCATAGTACTTTTGAGCCATCCTGGACCACAAAGGAGAGAAAGCTTCCCCCAGTCTGACCTCTACCAGATGTCTCTGCTTCCTGCACCCAGGGCTACGGGCTATGTCTCATGGATGGGGAAACTGAGGCCCGAAAGGCAGAAAGCGCTGCCCAAGGTCCCCCAACTAAGGTTGGCAATGCAGCAGAGACTCAGCCAGGTCTCCAGTCTCCCGCCCTGATGCCCACCAGACTCACCTGGTGATGTAGTTGCCCATGGAGGCCCATAGAGGCACAATGGCCATGCCCAGGGCCACGGCTGAGGGCACGAGTGTGTAGTAGCGCTCCCAGTAGTTGGTGGAGACAAAGAGGGCATAGATGCCCACAGCCAGGAACATCATCCACTTGGTGCCAAAAAACCTGTGGGCAGTGGGAGGGACGCTGGCACCACGAGCCTACCCAGACTGCTGTGGCCTGAAGCCAGGGTGGCCCCAGCTCCAGGTCCCAGCTCATGAGGTGGTGTGAGGTGGGGAGCAATCCCTGGCCTTGGGGTCAGGGGCTCTAAGATGGAGTAGCAGAGATATGGCCTTGCTGGTGGTCTCAGGGGAGCCCTGTGTCTACACGCTTCAGTTTCACAGCTTAATGTGGGCACAGAGCCCAAACCACAGCCTCTCAGGGCTGTTTCAAGGAAGGGGGGGATATGGGGGAGGGTGATGAGTCAGTGGTCTATGGGCACATCCAGCCCTCATTTGTGTTCTGGGCTGACTGGCCAATCCCCCTCTTCCATCTAATCTCATGTGTTGTGACTTCAGGGCGCCCGGGGAACACAGCCCAAACTGGAGGGTCAGAGACGGGGCCAGTATCTCTTCCTCCCTGCCCATTGCTCTCGCAGTCCCACTGTGCTCACGCGGGAAGTTTCTTCCCCACTAGCTCCTAGGACAACAGCCTTGCTGACTCCGAGGAAATGTCACACTGTGTTTAAAGGTGGCTGATCAGTGACTGGCTAAGGGCCCATTCAGGGCATGGAGGTTCGTCAGACTAAAAACTACTACCAGGAACTTTGGGGTGTTTTGAGTATTGGTGCTTATTAGTTCCTTACTTTGCCTTGGTTTCCAGGAAGCTCAAAGCCAAATGACCCTAATTTTCCGATAAAATTACTTTCTCTTCTATTACAGGGGGCCCTGGTTCTTTTATTATCCATATTTTGCCATGTAATAAATAGGCAGCCTACTCTGGTCTATTTGGGGGAGGGCAAGCCACAAAAAATGTACTATACATTTTGATGGAGTAAACAAGCGAAAAGTAAAAATACTAACACTCACTGCTGGTGAGGCTGTGGTTTAAAAAGTGATGCACATGGCCCATGGTCATGCAGACTGGCATAGCCCTTTAGAAAATTAGCCCGGTAGTTTGGGCAAGGGGCAAGCTTGGGGCGGGGGACTCAAACTTTCAGACTGCCAGGAGCTGCCTGTGGGACCTGGGCAAGCTGCTGAATGTCTCAGCTTCTCCGTGTCTGTTAGAGCACCTACCTCGGATTGTAGGAAATGAGGTAGCATTTACAAAGTGCCCGGCACATGGGAAACAAAATAAGAGTTAGCTGTTATTATCAATAGTGATATGTCTTAAGAGCCAGAAAACCTTTCATATACCTCTACTCTGCTAAGGCCACTGCTAGAAATTCATCATTGCAAATTTTTTTTTTTTTTTTAAGAAGGAAAGAGCTAGGGGCGCCTGGGTGGCTCAGTCAGTTAAGCATCTGACTTTGGCTCGGTTCATGATCTCAGGGTCCTGGGATCGAGCCCCGCGTCCCACTGGGCACTTAGTGGGGAGTCTGCTTCTCCCTTTCCCCCTCCCTCTATCTCTCCCCATGCTCATGCTCTCTCTTTCTCTCAAATAAATAAATATTTTTTTTTAAAAGAAGAAAGAGCTACAAATACAAAGTGAATGTGCCAAAAGGAGAGGGAGCTGAATGTCCAACTCTGAGGCACGGTTGGGTGCCCCCATCTCTGCAGAGGGTGCTACCCTCATAAAGTCCTCAGCGTGAAGATGGAGGAGCAGGCCAAGATGTGTGTCATGAAAGGAAAGAAAGTAAAAGTGAATGTTGCACACGCTCTGGTGACAAGGACATAAACGTTACCCATCTGTGCTGGGGGGACAACAAAACAGCTGATTTACTGGCGGGCTTGGGAAGGATTTTCTTTTTTCTGATTCTAGTTGTGATTCTTTTTTTTTTTTTTTTTAAAGATTTTATTTATTTATTTGACAGAGAGAGAAATAGCGAGAGCAGGAACACAAGCAGGGGGAGTGGGAGAGGGAGAAGCAGGCTTCCTGCCGAGCAGGACCCTGGGATCCCAGGACCCTGGGATCATGACCTGAGCCGAAGGCAGACGCTTAATGACTGAGCCACCCAGGCGCCCTCTAGTTGTGATTCTAATGCTGTTTACACAATTATGTTAAAGGAGTTTTGAGTTTTTTGGGTTTGGAGGGTTTGTTTGTTTCTTGTTTGTTTGGTTTTTGGTTTAAGATAGAGAAACTAAAACCCATCTAACTTGTCTGCTAGTCTCTGGGTCTCGTCTGAGCAGAGACCTACCTCCTGGTGGGGAGGGTGTTTGTGCGGGGGAGTTTTGCACCGGTCAGGAGGCTGGACCAGATGCCTCCAAGGCTCCGGTCCAGGGTAAACCCTCTGGGGCACCCAGCCCTGCCTCTTCAGTGAGAAATGTCCCTCAACGCTGACCACAGCTGGTGAGGCCAGGCTTGGTGCCTGGGCCTTGTTGGCTGATCATATTCTCTCCAGAGGTTCCACAGCCCTGAGCCCAAAGGTCACTCACTGTAGCTCCAGGCCACAGAGGAGGGCGCAAAGCAGTCAATGCCATGTGAGGCAAGCTGAGGGAAGGAGCCGGAGTGAACTTCTGTGGTGTCAAATGTGCCCTCCGGTGAAGCTCCTGCTTCCTTCCCCAAACCCAGGTTCTCTCCTTCTCTCTCACCCCTCCAGGTAGGCAAGGCCTCTCCCCAGCTCCCTGCCCCCAAGAACACCATGGGCCAACAGCCCTTGCACCCCTTCAACATCTGGGTGACGGCCCAGGCCTGCTGGGGACAGCAGCAGCGCACCTGATGAGCACAGGTGTGTAGAGCAAAGCAGCGATGGGCGTCACGTTGATGCCCATCAGCATCTTGCTGTCAATGTCGGGCAGCCCCATGTTGCCATACTTCACCTCGCGGTAGGTCTCATCGTAGTGCAGGATCAGCTGCATCTGCAAGAGGCCTGGGAATAGGGAGGGCATGACGGGGGGCAGCCTAACTCAGGCGGCGACAGAACGACAGAACGGAGGCTAGCCACGAGCTTGAAGGGAGCTCCGGTCGCCAAAGGAGTCCCCGATTCCAACGCCCGTGAGGACAGAGAGGGCTGCCCGGACTGGGCCAAGCGTCCTGACAGCCAGTGAATCCAGAACCCCGCCCCCCCACAGTCTCTCTCTCTCTCTCTCTCTCATTCTCCCTCACGGGCAGCGCTCCAGATCTGGAAGGCCGCACACCTGCCCCGGGCGCCCAGTCCTGCCCACACGCTCACGAGGGCTCTGGCTGCGAACCAGGGACGCGGCACGGGGACCCCACCTCCGTGCGGCGGGGCCGCAGCTGCAGCTGCGAGGCGGCCTTTGGGGAAGTGAAAGAGGAAGGGAGGCCCACTGGCCCCCAAGGTTTCTCCTTCCCTGACCGGGGCTGGGAAGCGCGGCCGCGGCGGGGAGCCGTGGCCCCTGGCGCGGGAGCCCGCGGGGCCGCCTACCCAGGTAGACGCCGTAGGTGAGCGTGCCGCCCGCGCTGGCCGCCAGCACGTTCTTGAGCACGCCGAGGCGCTTGCGGCGGTAGTAGCGGCGCTCCTCCTCCTCCTCGTTGTAGTTGGGGTACGCGCCCACCAGCTCGTCCAGCTGCGGGGCACGCACGGCGCTCGCACCCGGGCAGGGGCCATCGCACTCCCGCCCGGGAGGCCCCGGGCCCTCCCCCCGCCACCGCCCCGGCCCAGCCCCGGGGCTGCCTCGCCCCCCCGCCGGGGAGGCCCCCTCCCTCCGCGTCCTCGCACCCCTTCACAGACCCGTCCCCGCTCACCGGAGCCCCGGGCCCGTCGGGGACCCCGAGCCGATCCTCATCTCCCTGCGGCCCCGCGGTCCCCGCCACCCGGTAGAGCGGCGGCACCGCCTCCATGGCCCGACCCCCGCGGGAGCACTGG